ATCATTGTTTCTCATAATTGCAGTGTTTGGCTTTGGGGTTTTATGTAGCTTAAGAAGGCGAGCAGCAATGACAGCGACAGCGACAACGACAACAATTAGCTAAGTACGAAAATCAAAACGAAAGACTTGGGCAACGAACTCGCCCAGCGAAGCGAGCGATAAACGATGATGGATTGACTTTCAAGGGGTGTTGAGGTCCAAAACAACAAAGATAAACGTAAATCCGTAGTAAGGGAAAGATATGGAAAGGCAAGGGGAGAAAATAGTTTAACGAAATAAGGGCGTTTTCATTGACCATTCAGTAATTGTCAAACAAAAGATAAATCAATCATCAAATTAAACTTCAAACAGGGGAAAAGTGCTTCCAGAAAACTAATAATGAGAATGAAAAGAAACTTATTTCATTTTGAAATAAAAAGAGTACAAGTCAAATACATTCTTCAAGGAATCTAAGTTGCATAGGCTATCTATATTATATTATTATACATAAAATCACATTTCCTTCTGAACTAGCTACTTCTAAACATTAAAGGGCGTTTCCCTAGACCATTTAATAATTGTCAAATAAACGAAAAGTCATTCATCAAAATACATTTTATGAAATATTTATAGGTTCACAAAAATGCTGGTAATATGCAATGCGTTTTGCGAAAAATTCGTAGACAGCGAAAAATATTCTCACTGAACAAACTATAACAACTGCGAATAATTTCCTCACGCAAACTGAAAGATTTTTCTGTGATTGATCACTCCCCTGAGGGGTCTCTAAGGGCAGGGGCCCCCCCATGAAAATGTGTGTGTAAAATTTGTTGTGTGTTATATCTTTTTTTTTTGACAAATTGCCTAAGCATAAAGGCCGCGTGACTAAGCAAAGAGGAGTGCTGCTGGGGCAGGAAAAGCGAGAGAAATGCGTGTGTGCAGCTGACTCTGAGATGCCTCAAGTATTTCTGTAAAAATAAATACATAAAACGGACCACAAAGAGATGAAAGCCAGCAGAAAAATAAAAAGAAACATATCAAACATGCGATATAACCATTTTGACAAATTTCGCTCCTCTTTGGCAGTTCGAGCGGGGAATAAACGGGTTTTGCATTTGGCCAAGATGACTCATCTGATTGGCTGGGAATACATAGATTCTGCGAGTAGAGTAATCTTTTTTTTTGCTTTGCAGCTGGCTTTACAAGGAAGACTTTGTTGTGGATACCAAGGATTTTAATTAAACTGAAACTACTAACTATATCAATCAAGTAGCTAAAGATACTTTTACAACACCTGTTAAAAATAGTTGAAACTATCTAAAAGTGGCTCTATTAATCCCTCCCAACAACCAGTAGCCCATTAAATTTTATTCTGATAATTTAGAAATACAAAATTTAAATAGGAATGCCAGCTGCACTTGCACGATACTATATAGTTACCGTCTAATTTAGCCAGAGTCTCTAAGGGGTGCAGTTAAGAAGCAGACAGCATTTGTTTATATATTATTTCTTTTTGTTTATCTGCTCATCACAGGCAGCAGCAACAATGGCAAAAAGCCACACCAACACAGCGAACAAATAACGACCGTCTTCAGTGTCGACTGGTCATGAATGTTTATAACAAAAAGTGAACAACAAAAACTGCAAAACGAAAAAGGCGAAAAATAAAAACTTCAAAACTAGAACAATTTGTGCCGTTGAGCACAATGAACAAAAGCAAGGCAATTGCTTTGTGCATGATTTCATTTTAATTAAATTATGTTTTTTTGCCTGTAGTCTGTGCTTTTTATAATTGCATGCTGCGCACTGGATGTGCAAATTTAGATTAGTATTAGTACATACCAGCCAAGGTCAGGCAATTATCATAATTTTTAAGAAGCGAGGGAAGCGCACAAAAAAATCACAACTGAAAATAAGCAGAAACTATAACCGCGTTTGGACTTGGTCTTAATGGCACTTAGCTCTTGACGGCTTCCAAGCTCGAAACTGGAGTAAACGTGCCTTAAATGAATCTTAATAATTTTATTTAATTTTTTGCTAGTTTTTGTTGTTGTTTTGTGTATTATTTTTGCGACCGCATCTTTTATTTGTCGAGCTTAATAAGCCATATAACAAAGCATCTTATTATCGTGTGTGTACGTAAGTATATATAATATTTTATCATTGCATCATCGGGGCATGAAAAATTATAAATTCTACTTGCTATTTTTGCTGCGCGTTAAGGTTAACAACCAAACAACATTTAACAACAAACAGAACAGCAATCGCCATAATTAATCACACACAAAATCAACAACAGCAAATCCACTATTGTGGATGATGACTGGTGAAGTTATTTTATTTTTGCTGATATTTATGTTTTATTGTTATTGTTATTCTTTGCTGGCGTCTATTTGTCTTGGATCAACTTGTTGCACTTCTGGCGAACTGGGGGGAACTTTTATTTTTTGTGGAAATTATACCAACTAATTAAAATAAATTGGCATTGTGCAGTCGAAAAAACTCATCAATATTCGCATGCCATCAATAACTTGCGCACTGCCAAATATTTTGTTAGTCTCGCAAAAAAACAAATTGTCTGACAAGGCAAACAAAAAAAAAGGTTATTTATATAGTGAATATATATATATACTTAATTTGAATTGTGCAGATTAGGCTCTCGCACTTAATTTATAGCACTTTCACTTAATGGCCTGGCTAATTGTGACTTTAAATGCTTTACCTAAATTATGCAAAACACAAAATAAATGTTATATATCTTTGCTGTGATTAAAGAGATTTAAACAGGTCTGAGCGAAGAGTGTCTGATGGTAGAGATCAAATTGAATAGTACAAGTTGTAATAAAAGTGATTTTAATAATATATTGGTAGTTATTTCAGGCCTATTATATGAAGTCAATAATATATATACAACATTGGTATAACCAACAATTAATGAAACTGTATTCTAGCATCTAAAAATATTTAAAAATTACTCTTGCATTATAGAAATTAGAAATTAACTTCAAAATCAAAGTGGTATTCGTTCTTGTAAATTAAAAATATAATATTGCTGCAAATATCTAAGAGATTCTCAGTTCCTGGCCACTTAACTCCCTCTCAAAAAGGCTCTCTTCATTCCACTTCCCCTCTCAAAAAAAAGTCATTCCAGTATCTGCCCAAGAATGTGTCGCTTGTCTGTTGTAAAATAAATGTTTATGGCTTTTTAATATTGCACATTGTCTGCATAAATTTCACGGCGCGGCTCATCTGCAACGTGTTTTGGCCCTCTCTCTCAGTCTGTCTCTCAGTCTCTGGTTGTGATTTAAAATCAAACTAAATCTGCTGCCAATCCACAGGTTGTTGAAACTTGAAACTCATAATTTTTAATTTATTTTATGTGATTTTTATTTGTCGATTAATCCCAGGCAGGCAGCGACCAGACCCAGACCCGACGACGCTTTATGAAACCTAAACGTAGGAAATTTATTTCCTACCAACTGAGAGGGGCCCAGAGACCTCAAGTTGGGGCCAAAACTCGGGCCTCCAACTCAACACATAACACGAAATCAGATTAGCATGTTTTACAGTCAAACAAGGCAGCAGCAGCAACAACAACAGCAAGAAGAAAATAAGGAACCCCGGGACCTGAACGAACTGAAAACCAATTGCCAATAGGCATTCTTACAAGAGACCCCAGCCACGATGGGAAGAAGAAAAGTGAATGTGTTGAGTGCTTTCTCCTACTTTGTAATGTGCCAAATTGTTTGTTGCCGCCAAGAATTATGGCCAAGAATCGCCTGTGGGCCAATTGGTGCTATAAAACATAACACAAAAGCGTTCGGCAGCAAAAAGAGTGCTTGCAGCTGAGGCTACCAGTTTGGTTAGCCAATTTTCCTTTTAGTTTTTCTGATATATTTGAAAGCATTTCAATTGGTCTGAGCATTACATTCAATCCCAATTTTAATGATTTAGTAATATATAGTTTCCCAGGATATTTCCCCCCGCTTTGCATGTGCGCGTGTCATCATCATTGAAGTTTCTGCTCCAATTCCAAACTACAACTACAAGTGGCAATAAGAAAAACGCAATTTCCTTTTGAACCCCCTACCTGACCGTGAAAAAAAAAAAACTAGAGGGACCCAGAGCAACTCCTCGCCAAAACAACAATTGATGGCAATTTGTTGATAAACATTTCGCTCGCAATAAATAAACAAATATTCCCGCTCAGGCACAAGTTGAGCCTACTTTGGGGGGGAAAACCAAGGTGAGGGGTTTGCCATATAAATGCAAATGTTGCTTGTTTGCTCAGAGAGTGTAGAGAGTGTGTGTGTGTGTGCTCTGGGGCAATTTTTCATTTGATTCCATCTTCATATTTTATTATGGGCAACAGGAGAGACTCTTGGGCAAAGGCACAGAGAAAAATAAGGGGAAGTTACAATAGAATTTCCATGAAAAATTAAAAAGTTAATCAGTTAAATTTATAAAGAAATCACTTTTCAAAAGTACTGATGTAACAAGTTAATTGTAATAATATTTATTTTATATTTATTAGTATTTTCATAGGTATTTTAGCAATTTTCCCTTATAAATCACAGTGCCTGGAGTTCATGGTCGGGTTTGGTTGGTTGGCCATTTGTTTGGCTGCTCCTTTGGGCCTGTTTCCCATTTCCATTTGTCGTCGTTCGTTTTTCGCCTTTCGATTTTCGCCGAGCTCTGTTTTTTTTGCTGTTGTTGTTGATACCAATTCTGCGATATGACAAACTATGTTTGCATTTTAATTTTTAATGCGTGTGAATTTTGCTGGCGGCTGGATTTCCAATTCTCTTTCTTTTTTTCTGGAGAGCTCCAGATGCGCGTGTCATGATTTGCTGTTGCTTTTAATTGAAATTTTATGAATTTATTGCCTCAGTTTTTGAGCCGGGGTGGGTGGATATTGAGGCTGGGAGGTTAGAGATTACCCGAACCTCCCTCCCTCCCCCTCCTGAAACTATTTGCAATCCCATTCTCATGTCCTGTTTTCTGTTCGTTCTCCATTGCAGATGAATCAGACGTGCAAGGTGTGTGGAGAGCCGGCGGCTGGATTCCATTTTGGAGCCTTCACATGCGAGGGTTGCAAGGTGAGTTTGATATCGAAATCTTATATAATTAAAGCTTGTTTTTTAGGGTGTTATATGAAGGTAGATAACATGGAGATGGTATTTTTAAATTTATCTAACTGAATTCTTTAAATGTGAGATGCTTTTGAGGCCTTTCAGCATTTTAGGAACAAATTTATTATGAGCTAAATAAGGATTTACGTTTTTTATTTAAAACTTTTGTTGATTAGAATTTAAAGTCCTTTTAAACAATGGCGCTATACATCTTTTACTTAAATTTTGCCTTTGTCATAACCCCACATATATTAATTCCACATTAAACTGTAGCTGCCCTAGCAGCGTCTTAAGAACTGATTTTTATATACAGCTTTTCTTTGATAAGAATTTATTAATTAATGAATTAAATGACGTTTTTAACAATGGTGCTATGCATCTTATAATTGAAATATACACAAAATATTTAAATTCCTAATTAAACGGTAATTGCCCTTCTAGCTCTTTAAGAACTAATTGATTATGAGTTCAAAAAGTATTTATATTGTTCAATTAAACTTTTCCTTGGCAGCCAGATTACAAATTCAAATCCTTTTATATATCTTATAATTTAAATTGTTATTGTTGTAACTATAAATATTTAAATTGCACCAAAATACTTAACTAAAGACCTCAATTAAAGCGCATCCCACGGGCCAGTTAAAATACCGCTAACAAATCCATTCGAAATGGCCAACCCTTTTCGCATTTTGGCCACAATTTCAAACACTTTCAAACACAATCGGGCATTCCTGGCTATGGCCCAAAGTTGTTTCATATCAATCGATTCAATCGATTTCTATAAATCGAATTCGCCGCCTTCGTGATGCAAAAAGCGCTAAGCAGAAATAGTTATGAGGCCAAGCTCCGAGAGACCCCAAGCTTGGAGATGGAGCTGAAGCCGGAATGTTGAGGGGATGCTGATGAGAAGGAGGAGTTGCCATGGCAACGCAAATGGATGGGATGCCCCAGGCTAAGGTCAAAGTTAAACAAAGCGCCCCACAAATAATTGATTTAAATACGAATACTCCTTTAATGGTGGGATGATCCAACTCGATTCGAGTTCAGTTCACGGGATTTGATTTTGTTTTTTATTTATTTATTTCTATTTTTTGTATAGTTTTTTCTTGTCGTCGTATTTAGTTGGGTTTTTTTTTTTTCTTTTTTGCCCACGCCAAGGAGAAAAGGTCAACTAACGTACAATTTGTGGGTCAGCGTTATTTGATTTGTGCTTGGGCCTCGTTCGCAATGGCGTGGGCCTCGCTTGGCTAATTTAACGCCCACAAGAAGACAAACAAACTAAAAAAAGGGGTAAAACAAAAATATACAGTAAATGGGCCCAAAGAGAACTAAAAATAAGCAAAACAAACAAAAGTGAATCTGCCTTGATGCACAAAATTGCTTGTAAATAGTCGTCCGTCCGTCTGGGCTGCTTCTTGACTTCTTGAAACGAAACTGAAACTGAAGAAACGCCAGAACGGGCACCAGATCCTCCTCCTCCACCTCCTCATCCTCCTGCTCCTCCACCTCCACCTCGACCGTTTCCATTTCCATTTCCGACCCAGTAATCTTGATGCCCAATTAACCTTAAAAGTGGATTTTCGCATTGTTTCTGCTTCTCTTTGGATATTTTTTTGCTTAGTTTCTGTTTCTGTTCAACTTTGCGCTTCGTCGTCAGCATCAGCACCGGTGTTTCAATGTTTCGGTGTTTCTTCCACTCAAAAGCTCCACCTACGATCAGAAAACGACGGCAACCAACTTGAATACTGACAAACTGACACAGAGTCTGGCAGTTACACTTGAAGATATTTTAAGGCCCAACATAAGAAGGTCTTGTAAAAAAAAGAAAAGGGTTTTTTCAATTGCTTTAAAGGTATAGAAAAGTGTTTTTTACTAAGGTAATTCAAAACAGAACCTAATCATCCAATTATTTGGTTACTCACCTAAATTGAACTCGGGCATTATAGCAGATTTCAAAAATATAATCTAAAAATATTAGAAATTGCTAAAACTTTATAAAATATCTATTTAAAATATAGTTTGTAGCAGGTTTTTATATTTAATTGTTAAAAAACTACTGAGCAATTAATAGTTTAACAAAGAATAATGATCAGAATTCCTATTTGAGAATTTTAAAGTGCATTCTTTGCTAAATTGTTAATTAAAATCACATATTTCCCAAAGCTTTCAAGCTAAGCTATTTAAATTAAGAATATAAATTGTAGTGTGTTTTCAAAATTAATTAATAAACATATGAAAAAAAATATAAATATATTTCAACAAGTTAGTCACACATTTCTCCCAGTGCCGCCATTCAGTCAGTTATTTAGGCAGTCTGTCCCTTTTGGTTGATTGCAAAGCCGGGCAGGCCGTGAAGCGTTGGTGATTTACTGCCAACATTGCAACTTGGCATAAGTGTTGCACAGCCATAACCTTTGCAACATGCAGCAGTGGATGCAGCACCAGCAGCAGCACCGGCAACATGTTGCTGTCTGTCGCTTGGGTATTTTTGTTTCTTTCTCAGCTTTTCATGGCTCCTCCGCATTGAATTAAATTGTTTGTTTGCTTTGTTGCAATTGATTGTGGTGCCCCAGCCAACGGTTAATGCCGAAGGTGTAGGTGGCAGCCTGGCCGTCGCTTGTGCATGTCGATTTGCTTTATTTTTGCCCCAGCTTCTTTATTTTTTATATATATATATATTTCGGCGCTCAAAGAACGTTTTTTGAAGAGGTCTTTGATGAATCATCACAAATTTTAATGAGATATTATTGTCGAGCATTAAAAACGTTTAAGGGAATGACATCATGGGCTGGGTAGCAGAAGAAGTTGGATAAGGGTGGAGTCTTAAGGGGAGGAGTCCTTCAAGGCACTAATGGATTGAATATATATATTATATATATTATTTTATTTAATATTTATTAACATCCCAACTTTCCTCTCCCATTGCAGTCCTTCTTCGGTCGGTCGTACAACAACCTCTCGTCGATCTCGGACTGCAAGAACAATGGCGAGTGCATCATCAACAAGAAGAACCGCACCGCCTGCAAGGCCTGTCGCCTGAAGAAGTGCCTCATGGTGGGCATGTCCAAGAGTGGCTCTCGCTATGGTCGTCGCTCCAACTGGTTCAAGATCCATTGTCTGCTCCAGGAGCAGCAGCAGCAGGCGGTGGCCGCCATGGCAGCGCATCATAACAGCCAGCAGGCTGGCGGAGGAGGAGCTCCCGGTGGCTCTGGAGGAGCTGGTGGTATGCCCAATGGAGTGAAGGCCATGTCGGGTGTCCCACCACCTGCGGCAGCGGCAGCTGCACTGGGAATGCTGGGTCATCCCGGTGGCTATCCGGGTCTATATGCCGCAGCCACCGCTGGAGGGGGAGGAGTGCGTAGCAAGGAGGAGCTCATGATGCTGGGATTGGAGAGTGCGGGAGAGTATGGTGCCCTTAAGCATCCAGTGGTGGCCTCGCCCTCAGTGAGTTCCCCCGATTCCCATAACTCGGATAGCTCCGTGGAGGTGAGTTCGGTGCGGGGTAATCCGCTCCTCCACTTGGGCAGCAAGTCCTCGGCCGGTGGAGCTGCTGGCGGCGGTGGAGATGGCACTCAGGCGAGTGGAGGAGGAGGTGCTGTGCCGGGAAGACCGCCACAATTGCGCAAGGATCTATCGCCGTTCCTGCCCCTGCCCTTCCCGGGTCTCGGCTCTATGCCTGTGATGCCCCCACCCGCCTTCCTGCCGCCCTCGCATCTGCTCTTCCCCGGCTACCATCCCGCCCTGTATTCCCATCACCAGGGTCTGCTGAAACCCACACCGGAGCAGCAGCAGGCGGCCGTGGCAGCGGCGGCAGTGCAGCATCTCTTCAACTCCAGCGGTGCGGGTCAGCGTTTTGCCTCAGGCACCTCGCCCTTTGGCAACCACCAGCAGCAGCAGCAGCACCAACCGCCGCCTCCGCAGCAGCAGCAGCACCTCAAGGAGGAGGATCATCCGGCACCAACGAGGAGTCCCAGTGGCCATGCAAACAACAATCACCTGCTGACCAATGGCGGGGCAGCCGATGAGCTGACCAAGCGCTTCTATCTGGATGCAGTTCTCAAATCCCAAAGGCACAGTCCACCGCCGACCACAAAGCTACCGCCGCACTCAAAGCAGGACTACTCCATATCAGCACTGGTCACACCCAACTCGGAGAGTGGCCGTGAGAGGGTCAAGAGCCGGCAGAGCAATGGCCAAAACGACGAGGATGAGGAGGAGGACGAGATGCGGGCGAAGCAAATCAGAGATGGTGCCGAAGAGGATGAAGAGGAGGAAGATCTAGTGGTCTCCATGACGCCGCCACATTCACCAGCTCACCACCAAGAGGCGGAAACCACGGCTGAAGTGGACATTAATCCCAGTCCTGGCCAGGATAATCCCATCGATTTGAGTATGAAAACTACAGGGAGTTCGCTGAGCAGCAAAAGCAGTAGTCCCGAAATGGATCCAGAACCTGACAACTCCAGTCAAGGTGACAAAATAGAAGCCGATGAAGAGGCGGAAGATGAGAAAGAAGATGGGGATGAAGAGGACGAGGAGGAGGAGGATCTAAAGATCACACCTGAAGAGGATCAGCCAGAGGAGCAGGAGAAGCAGCTTCAGGAGACAGAACAGGAGATCCCCGAGGAGAAAGGGAAGCAGGCTCCCCTCTTAAACAATAACAACAGTATCAGTAATAACAACAATAATAATAATAACAGCATCCTAAGCGATACCGAGGCCAGTGAAACCATCAAAAGGAAATTGGACGAACTCATCGAGGCCTCCAGTGAAAATGGGAAGCGTCTGCGACTAGAATCACCAGCCAATGTCAAGGTGGCCACCTCCAATGCCTTGGATTTGACCACTAAAGTCTAAACAAAAGCACTTTCCGAATGACAGTTATCAGGCACTGAAGATCGATCGAGGCAATAGAAAATTAGCCCCCCGCTAGGACACCACCACCAAAAAAAACAAGAGATAAATAAAAGCAAAACAAAACAAAACAAGTAATAATAATAATATACATACGAGACAATAAACGCATGTGAGTTATATAAATAATGCGAAACATGAAACGGACTCGGAGGAGTCCGGACTCCGATTAACAAGCGCTAAATACGAGTTCGTGCCGTTTTGGGTCCCAAGATGTTATCACATCGTTTAAAACAACTAACCAAATTGCCAAAATATGCAAAAGTCGATCGGCCCCCGAAAAAAAGATATATATTTGCATATGGAGGGACCGATCGATCGAAAAAAAAGTATAACACAAATGCTGTCCATATCGATAATTTTATTCAATGAATTATAAACAAATTTTTCGGTCGGCAAGAATACAAATTCGACAGAAATGTGGAAGGAAAAGCTAAACAAATGATAAAAGATAATAGAAACTGTAGCAAAATATGCAAACAAAAAAAAGGGCAGCTTATCTCTCGTGTATCGCATATATGTATGCATAATATCGTAGTGGAATTTGTATAGTCCATAAGATTCGTTTTCTTTCTAAGCTATGAACCATATATACAGTATAATGCTAAACGATTTACTATATTTAGACGATTCCGATCCCCAAAAGTATTTGTTAGTTTAAAAGCACCCGCAAATCGTTCTATATAGATATAGCTCGAAGGTAGACAAATTTTTCTGTGTAATCTTACTCGTTTTGAGGTTTAGTTCGCTCGAGTTATTAGTCACAATTAGCAAATTCTTTACATTTACGCAAAATATATAAAATCATAATATATAATATGTAGTATATAGTATATAGATGCGATTATGTAAAGCAAAGGCGCACAAAGTTGTATAGCAAATAGCATAAATTATTAATATTAATGTTTGCTTAAGTATTTTTCCCATTCCGTGTGATGATTTGGTATGCAAATCAAGAAAATTATTATTGCTATCACCACAAAAAATAAATATACAAATAAATATTTAGATGAACTGGAGTTTCTTTCATTGATTGGGCTTGGCTGGGATCTGCGAAAGATCTATGAGATCGCCGGAGAAAGCTGGTTTCTCAGACTCCTGCGGCGATGGCAATCAATAAAATAAAAAGTAGAAATGGAAGAAGTCACCGCTTCGATGGGACAAAATGTGTCGCATAAAATGTTTCTCCGCTTTGGCAGCTTAATTAGAAATTATCCCAGCCGGAGGAGCTCTTAACCTCCTTAACCCCCACCAAAAAACAAAAAAAAACCTGCTTACCCGATTCCCAGGAACTTGGTAGCAAACTGCAAACCGATGTGCATACCAGCAGCCAATCAATCCGAAATCTATTTCAATCAATCTTTGCGTAATTGTAAATACTTTCAGCATAGCTTCGCTTCAAGTCCGGACCCAATGACAGAGAGACAGACAGACAGACAGAGAGATCGAGGGGCTGAGGGGCTGAGGGACCTGGGCGACGGCAAATGGCGCGAAAATTATAGCAAAATGCTAGACTTTGGGACCTGAATTCGTTTCTATTTATTTCACACTTGAATTGATGCACAGCACCAGATTGACATTTTGCAAATGCTCACGGCACCGGAGGAGGCAATTGCCAATTGGCGAAATCACAGCCGCCAGCCCCGGTTCAGCACAGAAGCTGTGAGCAGTGAGCTCTAAGCCCTCGGCTCTTGAATGAGGCTGCGCTTCAATCAATCACTGAGAGAAAATTTCGAGACTTGAAAATATGTAGGGAGAAAGCTGTATACAAAGAAATATAGATGGGAAATTCAGTTAATTGAAATTAAGGCAGTTGTAATGAGTACAGTTTAGTTTTATTAGAGGTAATAAATAAAACATTGGTATTTCAAAAGAACTTTGGATCCAAAGAATATATTCAAATATTTAATATTTAAATTAGATATTTGGATGTCTAAATTTTTCGAAAGCCCTGGAAAAGCCTATGAAAGTTTTGGCAATATACAAGAGGGAAGAGAACACCAGAGGCTGCGGAATATCAACCCCAATTTAAGCCCTAATAGGGAGGGATAATATTGGTTACTGAACTTCGATTCAATTCTTAATAAGAAGGAATAGTTTTTTCTACTGAAACTACTTAATAAACCCAACAATTTTCGCCCAGTGTAATCCTCAAGGCAGGCTTGGCCGTCGTCTTCCTCGTCGTTGACTTTGTTGTGGATTGTGGATTGACGCTCACAGCTTGACGAGTTGACGGGTTAGAGATCGCTAGCTCCGACTGTGACTTTTTCGGGCAGAGGGTTTTCCAACGGGGTGAAAGGGGGGCTGGGCTGAGCTGGTGCCAAAGTAAGGTAGTACATCCCAATGCCTCCTCTCATTGTCAGCGGTGAATTGTAGTGCAAATAAATTTCAATTGCGAGACACATTCTCCCACTGACATTGTTTGACACTTCTTCGGCTGCACAATTTGCATGTCGAAGGCGCAAAAGGGCGGTGAAGAAGGAGGGAGGAGGGGGCTGCCCGGCAGATCTTTAAGTTTATTGTTTGATCTTTAAAGATTGGCCAACACCCAGCGGCGAATGTTGCTTTCCTACCCTCATTTCCCCTTCTTTTCCTCCCTATTTTATTTTATTTATTTATTTATTTTTTTGTTTTTGCTAACAAGCTCAACACACACGCTCAAGATGAGGATGACGACGACGACGGCGATGATGATGATGCTGCTGCGACTGAGGCTGATGGTGACGGTGATGAGGAAGACGCACCCAGGCTACCAATCTTAGACTTGGAGCTCCATTTATGGGCTATCTGGAACCGGAGCTGGGGTGGGTCCCAGCACTGAGGAAAATTTTTAAGTAAAATTAAGAGGAAACTAGGGTCCTTTCTAAGGAAGATCTCTAAGAGTTCTTTCTGTCACAAAAATACTTTAAATCTTTGTGATCTTTAAGGTTCTTTAAAGGAACCTCTCTTCAATGACTATTAAATTCAGTAAAAATTGTTTATAAATTCCTAACATTTAATACAATTTGTAATACATTTTCCCCACTATATTTGGAAAGTATCTCAATACTTTTTCTTGCAGTGTCTGTGTCTGCTCCAAATGCATTAAGTGTTTTGGCGCTTTTATTTGCTACCCACTCGCCGGGGAGTCGCAGGCGGAACAGCAAAGACGACTCGATAGCTACACCCTGATCTCGTGTGGACCACTTTCCGCACCTACAACAAAACGCGGCACATCGCACATCATACCGCAGATAGAGGCGACACCAACGCGCGCGATAAATGTCTCCGCTCTGTTGGAACTCCCAGATGGATATATAATCGGAGTCGCATTTGGATCGCGCTGGAAGGAAGCTGGAGAGAAGCTGCTGGCCGAGCCTCTCGATACTTAACACCTAGGCAGGAAGGCACACAGTCAGAGAGACAGACAGACAGATGGAGACTAAACGCTCCAACTGGATTGGGGCATGGCCGATAACCGGCGATGAAGCGTTGAAAAGCCAGGCCAAGACACTGAGACTCTGTGAGATCTTGGGGCCCACCACCACTTTGGATGCAATTGCCGCAATATCTGCGAGTAACAAGCATAACACGCCCACTGTGCCGGCGACTGGCCCGGGGGTCCAAATTGAGCCTAACAGTTGCACAAATGGAACGGAAATTGTTAGTCAGTCGGGCAAACAGAGTTATCAAAATACGACTCGATTCGATTTAAACGATTTCAATGATTTATGTATGCAGATTTCACTTTTGCCTTCGGTATTTTGGTTTTTTTTGGGTAATTAATAATATATATTTAAGTATTTTTAAAGCTTAATCTAGGAAGATGAGACTAAGGTAATCCATAGATGGATAAGCAAGGTTATACTAATATCCTTATTAACCATGTTATTTCAAATTAAATAAATCATTTTGTGATTAAATTCTAACTAAAACTTATGTGTATTCCCTTTATAATCTATACAATTTAATTAATTAACCCCTTTCATATATACTTCCTCACATTCCATTGAGATTTGTGTACTGAACTCTAATCCCAATGATATCTACCAAACGATTATGAAACAGGAGTACAATTCCAAAGTCCATTCAATAATTTCCCAGGCACTTAAATAAAAAATAAAATACATAAAAAATCAAGACAGACAAGGCCGCAGCATAAAACGCCGCTAAGTGCTTGGGTTTTGTATGGATTTTGTGGTTGTGGTGGGTGCCATGAATCGGGATAGAGTGTATCGCTGCTTTTTGGGGTTCAAGAGGAGCTTCGGGAGCCACAGAAGATCGGAAAGGGTGATGGGACACCCGGCATGACTTTGCTCAATGTGGAGACTTGTGCGCATACCGCATTAACTACTCCATAAAAGGTGTAAAGAAATCACTTAAGTACTTGGATGTCACTCCTTTGTCAAACTAAATCATAGTAGGGAACGGAACCCATCGTGAATCCATCTTTCTTCTATATGCACGGAGAGAAATAAAAAGGGTTTAAAGGAATTTACAAAGAAATTCTTCTTTTTTCTATCTATCTATATTATTGTATCAGACTTGATCGTAAATTTCATCTAAAAGGAACCTAAATGTAAAGTCATATATTCTTTAAATACAATTTAAGTCACTCCTAAATTATTTTACCTTTCCCTATTTCTATATTTCTTACATCGAATTAAATTGTAAAATACAACCTACATATATAATTTTTTTTTCAAGTGTCATATTCATAAGGAAAATATAGGCGTAGCTTTCGGTTGTAAAGAATAAAACGGGGGAGTTTTATTGACAGCCGCAATTACCACATAATCATGCAACAAATATGATGGTTTGCTGGCTGAATTGAAGAAGGGGCTTCCCCCAATCCCATGAATTTGCTGCTCCTGCTGCTGTGCCTGTTGCTGTTGCTGTTATTATTGTTACCGATGACGTAGAGACGACGTCTGAAAGGCAACAGGCTGGCAGGCAGCTCAACTCTGCTCAGCTCCAGCTCCAGCTCCAGCCCAGGCTCAACGGACCTGGCAACGTGCTGATCCATTACGGCAGCTATCCCCAGACACCCCCGCTTCCCCCCACCTGGCCACATTGCATCGAAGAGCGACAATCACAGGTACCAGGTACATTTTGTCTAGACTTATTGAGTGATCGTGGTGGCAGGAGCCAAAGGTAGGCACACACAGAGCAACACCAGCAACACCACCAACTAGAAGGCGCAGCCGTTTTTTTAATGGGGTGGCAATCACTTTGAACGACGACGAAGAGGTGAGCGTTAAGTTCTACACTGAGGGAAAATATACTTAATAATTATTTAAGAATAAAAATGCTTAATATTTAAGCAACTCAGGAAATAGAGGGAAAACGTAGTGAGCATTGGTAAAACTTCCTACCAATCTTTTGTAGTTATCTCAACTAAATCACATATTCTGAACTCAGAGGTGCCCAAGGAACTGGCTCAAGAGTCGAAGAAATTCTCTCTTCCGCATAGAACATTAATTTTTTAATTAATTTGCTTAATTTTTGGAGTTAAATAGCAAATATTCTAAACTTAATTATGTAAATTTATGCCATATAGCAAAGGGTAGGTATATTGATATATCTTCTATCATAACTATCCACTCTTCACTTCACTAGAATTCTTCTCCACACAAATTAAATATATATACAAAATTAATAATAATGATGTATAAAGATTTTCTCGCAGTGCTGCCGTGCCATCACAGAAGAGGGATCTGAGGCAGGCCTCACAAATTATGGTCAAGAGGCGAACGATGCCCGAAGAAAGCCCCTCTGCATCATGGCAGAGGCTCGTTTTGTGCTCTGAACTGGGTTGGCAGATACTTAAGAAATATGTTATTAAATAATAATGGAGTGCGTGGTTAATAGATACAACGTCAGCATCCAAAGGCAATACACTGCAGTCGCTGTTGCAGATGCTGCTGATGCTGCAGTGTGAAAGAAGTGTGCGATCCGGGCTACGTTTGGGGGCCTCATCGA